TAATGTTGTGCAGTTATCTCACTATCAAATACCAGAATATTTTGATCACCCCAAAAAGAAACTCCACTCCCCCCTTTCCCTTCTCCACCAGCCCCTGGCAAACATTAATCTACTTTCTCTCTCTATGGATTTGCATATTCTGGACACTTTTTATAGATGGAATCATACTATATGTGGCTTTTTGTCTGTCTTCTTTCACTTAGCATAATGTTTTCAAGGTTCATCGATGTGGTAGCATGTATCAGGACTTCATTAATTTTTATAGCTGAATAATATTCCAATGTATGGATATACCACGTTTTGTTTATCCATTCATCAACTGATGGACGTTTGTGTTATTTCCACTGTTTAGCTGTTATAGACAACACTGCCTCATAGTAGCGTAAGAGTTTTTGTGTAAACTTTATGTTTTCAGTTTTCTTGGGTATATACCTATGAGTGGAACTGCTAGGTCATGTGGTGGGAATTTGGTTTCAGGGTCTGACTATCTGAAGATCTCTTCAAATGGATTAATGGTTTACAGAGATCTAGTCTCTGTCTGGTGGGAGACAACAGAGAATCTGGTTTGTTAGTTTTTTTGTTTGTCTCTTTTTGAGCTCAAATCAACAGAAGTTCCTTGCCCTCTGGAGGAGAAGAGCTCTTTGATCTGGACCAGGGAGTTTTTCTGTTTCTGGGTTTACTCTTGGTCCATGGCTAAAATTGTAGACTTGAAACTATAAGCTCTATTTTCTATGTCTGTATGTCTATGTATTTGTAATTCAGAAACACCTTCACCTCTGGTTGTGTGAGTGTGCAAAGTTTTCCTTCCTCTGGATGGTATTAATATATTAAATTATTAAATCCCTTAAAAGAGCTCTGTCCTGATTGGCATATATAAATACTTGCTTATATATATTTAATATTCCAAAATACCCTGAAAATAAGGAAACTGAATTGCTGATTTTGTAAATGTACTAGATTTAAAAATACATATTCTCATAGAAATAGACTCATAACCATTTTAAGAATTCAAGTTCATATAATCCATGCACTTCCTGCTAAATCCTACCTTGGGGGGTGGGTAATCCCTCCATCTATGCATTTCATTTTCTGCCAGATTCTTCCCTAGGCTGACTGTACTCTACATTCATAAACCATCTTCCATGCCCTCTCTTAGGCTGGCTGCACCTTCTACACTTGCACTTTTTGCCATGTCTTCCCCTAGGATAGATGCATACTCCATCCTTATACTTCCTTCAGTATCCTGCTCTAGGCTGGAAGCACTCTTATCCCCTGCATGTCTCCTCTTCAAGCCTGCCTGCACTCTTAACTCATGGAATACCTGCTGGATCCTCACTAGACTGGCT